TATTTTACAATTTAGTTTCTAGATTTAGTTGAATAATTAGTTATATTCATATTTTGAAATTAAAATAAAACCAAAATAATTTATTACACATTATTTTAAAATAATTTTAGATCATCTATCCTAATTACTCTAAAATTAAAATTATAGGCTTGTAATTTTTAATTTTAAAATTTAAAACTTTATCTGTGTTGCTTTCACTCTTTAAATTTCCTTGTAACTGTCGCTATTCCACATTTTATTAAAATATATATTTTTTTATTTTTACAATTATAACTTTGTTTCTTTTCGCTCACGATTATGACCTTTCACTTAATACTCTTTTCTTCATACAAATAAAAAACACTACAGGAAAATAGATTGTTATCGGTGGACAAAATTTGTCGGTTACAAGGAAAATCTGCTGGAAATTTTGCTTTTCCGATGAATTTCTGGCGAAAATCCATGCGACGTTAATTCAAGCGTCGGAAAATCTTTACCAGTGCAATTCCGGCGAAAAATGAAGGTTGCGCATCATTTTCTTTGAACGAATTCTGGCGTTTAATTTGTCGATATTTACGCCGTAATTTTACTGGCAAAAATGTAAAATATCCACTGGTTAGTCACTTAGTCTGACACCTTTTCTGACGCATGTAAATCCGCCAGAATGTCCGACGGTAATAGAAAACTTTCCTGTGGTGAAAGTCATGTTTCCTTTTTTTTTTAATCATCCATCTCTTTTTAGGGACATTAGAGGATTCGAGCACTAGATGAGAGGGAAGGAATTGCTTCTGTCGACCGTTCGGCCGCAGTCGGGATCTCATTATCCATGTTCTTAACTAAAGAAGTCAACCCACCCCTCCAACTAGTGACAATATTAAATCCTAGACATATTTAATTGCTTAAAGATATTAAGTTTCCTATCTATTCCCTTATCTCCCTTTGCCAAATTGAGATATGGCCAAAGCCCCATTATTTTGAATTGGTTCTTGTTATTTTCAACTTTGTGTGGGATACCACACACAAATCTTCTCCACCTGCTCTAACTCCATTATTAATATTTTATTTTATTTTAATTAATGGTCATCAATATGTATACGAGCTGGGACCCAGTTGGTCGACAGAATTCCTCCTCTAGATCCACATTCGAGAACTTTTATTCTATCCAGTGAACGTACGCAGAGGAAGGTTCGGTTTTAGGCAAAAATTTAAATTATAGAATAAATGACCACCGGCAATACTGTTGGCAGGCTAACCACTTGATTTAATAGATGTAATTCTCAAGTGTTTATAACGTGAGAGAATGAACACTGTTTTCCTAAGGAGATTTTTGTTTTTTATAGGGTGAGGAAAAATGAAGCCCATCTTAATTTATTGATTGATGAGATTTTGATGTGAATATATGTAGGTGTGTATATGTGAATTTATGATTAAATTTATTTGTCAAAATCTCAAAAAAAAAAAAAAAATAAATAAATAAAAAAAAATCTTTTGGTTATATTTGATATGTCACAAAAATTGTCTTGATCATGCATTAATATCAAAAACATATTTGGATTATCATGACATAAAATATCTAAAATGCTCTAACATAAAATAGCTAAAATATCTTGACTTAAAATACCTAAAGTACCCTGATCTAGAATATTCTGGCTTAAAATACCTAAAAATATCCCGACTTAAAATACGTAAAATACCCTGACTTAAAAAATTTTGAGGGTGGGCACCCAAGCGTAGGATTAATTATTCTGTGAGGACGATGAACACCATCCGGAGACCAATCAAATGCGCCACATCACCCCTTCGCTCGGTACCGCGGCTCGGTACCGCTCGATACCACTGACGTGACACATTCTAATAATGTTCTGCTTCTGATCTCCGCATAGAATAATTTCTCCAAGCGTAGATCCGCCCTCTGATATGAAGTGAAAAGTAATACAAGTTATTTGTAGGGCCAACTATCCACCTGCTCATGACATAGCTTTACTTTTCTCTTAATTCATAATCTAAAAAATGCGCGTAAATTATTTACTTTACACTCCTAATTCAGCAAACCAAACTGCTCCTTAATCGTCGCAACATTATAATTGTATTTGATGTTATAGGTTTTTTTTTTTTTTTAAATTTTTTCACATCTGTAAAATGTAATTAAATGACTTAAATTAGAAGCATTCTAATCTTACTCAAAACTTGTTCAAACATGATTCAAATCTTAGTTGATCATAATTCAGATCACATTCAATTGAAAATTCGAATGCAAATTAATTCAAAATAATTTAATTCACAAGAAAATTCAATAAATTGTTTGTGCATATAGGAGGAGCATTTTAATCTGAAGAAATTTTTAAGAAAAGTTTTCCAATGATGATTTTTTTCTTTCAATTACATATATTACAAGTCATATAATTTCAAGCTTCCTTACTTCAATAAGGGGTATATTTGACATAAATTTTTACAATAATTATATTTTGTACATCATTTTCTTATTTATTTTTTAAATGTGATAGCTACAATTTGATTGTTTGAGGAGTAAAAGAAATTATAACATCTACAACTTCTAAATTTTTAATTTCTTCACAATAATATCACCAACTATTTGCAAGCAATGGCAATCATCTCAAGCAAATTCTAATCAAATTGCATTAGATTTACAAAACTCCTAAGACATATCACATCGATAGAGGTTGTACGACTTAATCATCTTTTTTCGCATCGTCTATGCTAGGGCTTCGTCCTAGCCGGTCGCTCTGTGCTGGAGATCGCCTCTCAGGAAAGTTTTCTCCTTTCTCTTCTGTCTATTGATTTTCCTTGGATGTGTTATTTTCTTGCGTGATCTTGCCCCGTCCTCGTCGGATGGCAGTTAATCGGGTTCGTTTGAGCAACCCTGGCTTCCTTTATGGGAAAAAAATGTTCTAGGTCTTTCATTGATGCACTGAATGGGGCTTCTTCGGTGGCTTTCCCTCTTCTTAAACATTCCACCTTTCGTGGTATGCCATCTTTATGGGTTTATGAAGCGGAAATTTCTTCACTCACAGCCCCATTCAAATTCTCATTAGTTGGGAAAAATTTCAACAGTAGGCCTAGCTTGGAATCAATTAGAAGATTTTTCTTTAATCTTAAATAGGGTGGTGAATTCTCTATGACTGTGTTGGATGCGAAGCATGTTTTAATCAAACTTGTGAATGACTTGAATTACTATAGGTTTTCTCACATCTTTCCTACTTTGTTAATAATTGCTTCATGAAATTAGTTAAATGGTCTCCTTACTTGGATTTATCGGTTGAATCTCCCATTATATCTATTTGGATATATTTCCCTAATATGCATCATCACCTCTTTTCTCCCTGCATTCTTCATGGCCTGGGGTCAATTTTTGGTCGGCCTTTGCATATTGACAATGCTACTTAGGTGGGTTCTCGGCCTTCAGTTTCTCGCGTTTTAGTCGAACTCGATATTACAAAACATTTTCCTAACTCCAGTGTGGATCAGGCATGATGGCTTGGGGTATGTTCAATCTGTGATTTTGAAAGACTTATTTTTTTTTTTTTTTTTTTATTAATGTAAAGTTTCGGGTCATGACAAAAAAGAATGTGGTAGCCTTAAATTAGTTAGGCCTAAATAGATTTCTACTGCTGGTGTTAAGGATACTGTGGATTCTACTTTGGTTCCTATCACTGAAATGGTTCCTAATGAGGATAATTGCAATGAAATTGTTGATGCTATTTGTCCTGTTGCTGACTTGCTGTTAATCCTAGCGATGATTTCATTCATCCTGAGCAGGAAACTGTTCGGTTCAATATTGACTTAACAGAGGATTGTGCCAGTAAAAATAGAAAAGATGTTAATGATAATTTGGTGTTAATAATTGTGTGGTTAACCTCACTGATGGTCCCATTGTATCTCCTAATTCTAAAGTGGCTGATGAAGATGTTGATTATGGTTGCTCGGATTCTGGAGAGCTCGGGTGTCCTGTTGTTGGGAATTCAGGGCCTGTCATGCCTGTTGGATTGGTGGCTACATCTATTTATTCTAATGCTCCTATGGATGGTGATATGCCTCTAATTAATGTTCCCATTTCTATTGTTGATAAGAAAACTTATTAGCTCAACTTGCTTCCAAAGATCATGTGGTGGTTCAAGGGGATTGGTTAATTGATTTTGGTTCAAGGAGGCATAGTAACTGGTTAGATGATGAATATGTGGAGAAAATTAACGAGAAATAATTTGAGTCTCATGATAACTTTGATTTGAGTATTCTTCAAATTGCTAATGTTGGTTCTTTTCAAAATAGTCGTAAGCATAGACAACGCAAATCCAAAAAGAAATGAGTTTTTTTTTTTTAGGATTTGACCTTCGTTTTCTTTGTGACCCAGACAATGTTGTGGCCACTTTTTGCTCACCAACTGGGCGGCTGCGGCTTGTTGGCAACCTTTGGTGGTACTTCTTGTTGCTCTGATTGGTGGCTTTTGTTTGGGTTGTGTAATTATGATTTGTCCATTTCATTTGTGTGGATTATTGTTTACTTCCTCATCTGGATGGTCTTTACTTAACTACTGGGTGGTTGCATAAAGCATATTTGCCAATGATTGAGACTGGCTGGCTTTTGCCTTCTTTACTGCTTCATGTATGTTCTTTGTTTTAGCTCTGTATTTTTTACTTTGTTCTTTGCAGGACTTGCTTGTATCTTCTTTTTATGAATGAATTTATTTCCTTTGAAAAAAAAAAACTCCTAAGACATTTGATTTTATGTAAACCCAAATAGTATTACAAAAATCAAGTTAAGAGGAATTCTTAGATTTCATTTGGTACATCATTCTTTGTTGCTTTCTAAAATAATTTTTAAAGTGCAAAAATTTTTTTAACTAGAAATTTTTGTACTAAAATATTACTTTAGAAAGTAATAAGAAAGATGTGACAAATAAAACCTAAGTAAATAAGACATTATTGTATAAGTTAATTATCTGGTTATAAAAAAAAAATATTTTTTTATTTGTAAAATTTTAAAAAACACTTATTTCTTTCCTCGAAATCAATAAATATTTGAAAATTTTTTATAAAAATAAAAACTAAACAAAATAAAATGTTATAAAATCCAAAGGTCTCGCCTCCTAAGATTGCCGCTTCTCACTTTTAAATGCTTCCCGCCTCTCTTCCCCTGCAACGCTTGCCCAGGCTTTGTTCTTCCCTTCCACGCCTCCCAATCCCTTCTGATTCCCAATATTACGCCAACCTCCTCATCTCATATTCAAAACAATCCGCCCGCCACCCGTTCGACGAAAGTCCTCAAAGAGTCCAAGCCCTCGGAACCTGCAAAACTATCCATGGCCGCATTCTCATACTCGGCCTCGATCTCTCTGACAAGCTCGGCAATGCCCTCATCGATCTCTACTCCAAGTCCGGAGAACCAAGTTCTGCCCAAAAGGCATTTAACCTCATGGAGAAACCAGATCAAATATCCTGGAATTCCATTCTCTCTGCCTATTTACGGACAGGTTCTACTTCCTCGGTTCTCATCTCCTTCACCTCCATGCTGCGATCTGGTTTCTCTCCAGATCAATTCAGCTTCGCAACAGCGCTTTCCGCTTGTGCCAGATTAGGCGCAGTAATGGAAGGGAAGAAACTCCATTGCTACATAATCAAACTGGGTTTGAGTTGTAATCGTTACTGTGAGGGGTCTCTAGTTGACATGTATGCAAAGAGTGGTCAGGTTTTGGATGCCTGTCAAGTGTTCGAAGAAATTTCGGACCCGGATATTATAGCGTGGACAAACATTATAGCAGGTTATGATCAGGCTGGAATGGCTGAAGAATCGTTGCGGTTGTTTTCGATGATGTGTGATTCAGGAATTGTGCCTGATCGAGTCATGATGGTGGCAGCAATGAGTGCCTGTTTTAGTCTAGGAAGGCTGGAAGATGCCAGGAGCTTATTCAAACAGATTCAGTCTCCCAATAATGTGGCTTGGAATGCGGCAATTTCAGGGCACGCTCAGAATGGTCACGAGGCTGAATCACTGGAGTTTTTTCGGGATATGAGGAGAAGTGACGTGAGGCCGACTCGATCAACAATGGCGAGTATTCTAAGTGCTGCCGCAAATTTACAAGCTATTGATGACGGTTGTCAAGTACATGCAGAGTCAATTAAGCTTGGTTTAGATTCAAATGTCTTTGTGGGTAGCTCTTTGATTAATTTCTATATCAAATGTGGGTTCATGGAAGATGCAAGAAGAGTGTTTAGTTCACCATGGGAAAAGAATGTTGTTATATGGAATGCAATGCTTGGAGGTCTATTAATGCATGGGCTAGCAGAAGAAGTGATTGATCTGTTTCTAGAGATGTTGGATCCTGATGAAGTAAGTTTTGTTAGTGTAGTTGGAGCTTGTGCTTGTATGGAGAGTGTAGATTTAGGCAGGCAATTTCATTCTTTAGCAATAAAGAGGAATATGGAAGGTGTTATGTTTCTACAAAATGCATTTATTGATATGTATTCTAAGTGTGGGGAGTTATCTGATGCAAAGAGACAGCTTGATTTGGTTCCTGTTAGGGACATTGTGTCTTGGAATTCGATTATAGTCGGACATGTTCATTGTAATCTAGAGGAGGAAGCTATATATATGTTCAGAAGGATGAGATTGGAGAGTGTGGTACCTGATCAAGTTTCGTGTTCGAGTATAATCAGTGCTTGCTCGGATTCAGGAGCCATTGATGAAGGGAAGCAGATGCATTGCTTGTCGATCAAAGTGAATCTTAGCTCGAATGTTTATGTGGGAAGCTCCCTTATTGATTTCTATGGAAAGCTTGGAGAAATAGAGGATGCAGACTTGGTGTTTTTGCAGTTGACAGAAAAGACTTTACCTGCAAGAAATGCTCTTATCAATGGTTATGTCCAGAACAATAAGGAGGAACAAGCCCTGATCATGTTCCAGGAAATGCAGATAGAAGGCATAAATCCTTCTACTATTACCTTTGGTAGCATTTTACCTGTTTGTGGTGCTCCCTCCAGAGTAACAATGGGAAAGCTAATGCATTGCTACATGTTAAAATCAGGCCTTGTCTGTTGTGATGACTTTCTAAAAGCCAACCTATTGGTAATGTATTTGAGATCTAAACTCCATGAGGATGCAAGTAAGCTTTTCTTGGAGATTCCAGTAAGCAAGAGCTTGGTGATATGGACGGTTGTTATTTCAGGGTATAGTCAGAATGGATTCAGTGATGAAGCTCTACTGTTATTTCAGGAAATGAGAATGTATGATTTGGGTTTTGACGAAGCCATTTTAGCAAGTGCTTTAGGAGCATGCGCTGACTTAGCTGCTCTTGGAGATGGTAGAAAAGTTCATAGCATAGTAATTTGCACTGCCTTCCATTTTTACAAGCATACAACTATAGCACTAATAGACATGTATTCTAAATGTGGGGATGTAGAATCTTCCCAGTACTTATTTGAAGAAGCCAAGCACAAGGAAGATGTCATATTGTGGAATTCATTGATCGTCGGACTTGCGAAGAATGGTTGTGCAATCGAAGCACTGGAGATTTTCTATCAGTTGCAGCAATCAAGAATAAATCCTGATGATATTTCGTTCCTCGGCGTTCTCACAGCTTGTAGCCACGCAGGATTGATCGAAGAAGGTCGCAGCTTTTTCGAGTCTATGACAAGTAATCATGGGATAATACCACGAGCACATCATTATGCTTGCATGATTGATCTTCTTGGTCGAGGAGGGCATCTTAAAGAGGCCGAGGAATTGATCAACAAGCTTCCATTGGAACCAAATGGTTTGATTTGGGCAACAATGCTTGCAGCTTCCAGAATGCATGAGGATTCTGAAAGAGGAGAAAATGCAGCTGACAAACTTACCAAATTAGAGCCTTATAACTCTTCTCCATATGTCCTGCTTTCTAGTATTTACGGCGCTTCGGGTAACTGGGATGGAGTCAAGAGGCTGCGACATGCCATGAAATTAAGGGGAGTTCAGAAGGTACCTGGGTGCAGTTGGATTGAGGTGAGGAACAAGACAAGTTTATTTATTGCTGGAGATAAGTTTCATCCCAATGCTAATGAGATATGTCAAGTATTGAATGATCTCACTGCTCTGATGAAAGATCTTGAGTGTGTTTCTGATATCATTTCGCTTTTGCTGGATGAAGATGAAGTCCTTGCGCTAGCCCTGTAGAAGCTCTAAAAAAATCGATTAGTTCATCCACCTTTGTATCTGTTGGATCTGTAATGTTCTTGCAGCAGGGCAAAGAGTTAACTTTAGTGATGTTAGAAACGTACATTGAATCATTGAATACATATTTCCACATTTTGACATTTTGTGAGTGAGATTCAACAAAACCTCTGTTCCATCACCAACTAAATTTTCATTGGAATTATGAAGCTGAGATGGAACTCTCAACTTCTGATCTTCAATACATTTTTTAACTGAAAAAAAAATGGTATACATGATTACCGTAGTTACAGACAACCTAATTTTGAACAATATTTTTCCCTTCACAAACGTCGCAGATGATGTAACCAAGGCCTTCGCAGTATGGGCACTTTGCTCCTTCGTCAACCCACTCCAGAAACTACAATGCAGAATACTTCAGTACTAACATAGAAGTAGCATGACATAAAGCCAAGTGAAATAATATAGAATGTAGTGTGGTTGTCCATTAACTTAGGCTTAGTTTGGGAAGGCTTTCTTTTTGTTTCTTAAAGCAGCTTCCTAGTATAAAAATTTATACTAAGAATATTCTTTAAGAAGCAATAAAAAAGTCACCCCAAACAAAGCCTTAATAAATAATTAAAAATTTTAATAGTTCAGATTTTAGGATCAAATCTCGTAGGCAACAAATTTGTGTTTTGGTGCTCAATATTTTTCAAAAGGGAAGAATTACACATATATCATCGGAATTATGCGTATTTATAAATCTAACACCTACCCAAAACAATCAAATTCATGCATTTGCACCCACGATCGATAAATTGAAATTTGATGAAAGTGAATGATGCTTCATTTTTTGAGAGGAGTACACTTTATTTCATGTTATTTACATATCTAACATCCAAAACATTAAGATTACATGTCTATCATTCATATACAACTTTAATATCAACTATACAACTCCTATATTTCATTCCTACCACTCATATCATTCTATAAATTTTAATATTTCATTCCATGCACCCATATTTGTTTTATGAGTGGTAGGCATATAATATTAATGTTTTGGGTGTTAGATATGTAAATAGTATGAAATAAAATGATAAGTATGTAAATATCCATTTTTAAGATTTGGGTTGTGTTATTGGAAATGAAAGTACTTTAGGATTAGTTTTGTAAATATACAAATTTAGAATGTTGTACTTGTAATTTCCCCAAAATAAAAATAATATAGAACTTAGTTGACAATGAACAGTTCATATGTACCTGTGGCTCAATATTTGGTTCTCCACTCCCATCACACTCTGCATGAAGATTAAAGGTGCAGAATTTTATCTTTGAAAGATAAAGCTAATGGCAAGTTATGTAATTTGAAGTTAAATGTTAAAGAAAATAAATACTGAAATTGAGTAGCAAAGTTCATCATAAACCTGAGCACATTAATCGGCCTTCTCCACGACAAGTGAGGCACCGAGTGGAAGATGAAGCCTTACTGCCTTCAGAAGGTTTATTTCTTCCCTTAAGCCTAGATGGTTCTTCCCACCGATTCTCTCCAAGTAGAAATACACGGTGTTGGGATATCCCTATTTCTGTATCACCAGCTTCTTTGATCAATGTTTCCTGTATCTCTGCAAACTTCCTTACTGAAGCAATAGGTGCTCCATTGGTGCCATCCTATGAGAAAACCAGATATAAATCGCGTAAACGAAGGCTCACTAATATGGGTTGATGTTTGCAAACTCAATAAGGTGAACCAAATTAAGTTCTGGCTAGTAAAAGTTTGATCCATTGATAAAACTTATTAAAGAGGACTTGGTATTGATGGAAAGCAAAATTAGAAGGGCAGGCGGATAAGCAGAAAAAATTTTAACCAGTATAATGGGATTGGAAATTGGAGGACTGAAGCTTTGATACAAGTGCTATCAGGTTGTTAATGCACTGGAATATCGGACAAACAATGAAATGATGTTATTCACACTTACAGATAATCATAGTTTCATATGCTCTGATAGTAGAGAATAATTACATCGTAAAAGCAAGGATAAAAAAGTAAAAATATTGCCCCCAAAAAAATTAACACACAAGACCCAAAAACTTACGTGGGGATTAGTGAACTGTGAGAGATTATTCTGTGCGGACACCGGACACAAAATACCATCTAGAGGCGAATCAGATGCATCCACGTCATCCAGTACCGCACAATACTGAGCTCGGTACCAAGCAGTACCGAGCCACGGTACCAAGTAGGAGGTGATGTGACACATTTTTATTGGGCTCTGGATGGCGTTCGGCCTCCGCACAGAATGATTCCTCATCTACATTCATGTCGGTACAAAAAAAATTTTCAAACTAATTTGAGAAAGTTTGTCACAATTTTCTGTTCCAAACAATCTTCTAAGTTTTAGGAGAAGGGAAATAAATGGCCCAATGGCTTAGAAGAAACTGGGAGGAATTGATATGAAAAGAAAATAGATTTATATTCCTAGTAACAGCAATAGTAATATTCCAAAAGTTAGAAAATGATAACGGTGCTAAATTGCCTGGTGTAGGGATACGGAAAGTGTAATTGCTGGAATTGACTTGTTAATGATGTAAAATCCGCATGGTTTGACTGTCATCGCTAGATTTTGCCAAATTAACATCAGGATAAGAGAAATAGAAGTGGATTAAAATAGGATTTTGAAGAGAAAATGAACTACCATGTTAGTTGACTGAAAAGGATATGCATTTCAAGCTTATCTACTTCCAGAAATCAATTTTGGAATAGCAACGAAGATACATAAAAACAAAGTATTAGTATTACGCATAATTAGGTAAGAAGGTGCCTTTTTTTAGGATTTCCATAATGGCATGCAAAACTTATGCGTCAAAATTTGAACGTGTATGAGATTGTTTTATCAATAACTTTAAATTCAGTTTTTGGTGGATCTATAAACAGTGTGGATATCGTTTTTAGATCTCGCTTTGATTGTATAAGCTGTTAACATAAGTTTAAATTGGGGAAGTCACCACATCTATTCAATATACATCCAAATGGGCAACTCTCATTCATGATATTTGGATTTTGAATCATGAAAATTGTCGCATAAAAATAGATGAGATCGCCCTAACCTGATGACAGAAAAGGGTTCAATATCCAAGCATGTTGATAGAAACACCCCATTTATATTTTACAACCAAATATTATAAGTAGGACTTTATTTTAATTTTTGATATTTAATCTTAAATCTAATTTTAATATTTAAAAAAAAAAAAAGTTAACAGTGTGATAGGAAATACTTGCAAATCACAAGTATTTCTATCAATAGAATAAAAAAACAAACTCCCAAAATCTGAAGAAAAATCACACCAAATAGTAGTTCTATTGCAAGAATCAAACGAACAGAAAGAAGAATCAAAGCAAGAACAATTGATCCTCAATTCGGAGGAGGATTGTTCTCTCCAAATCCCTAGAAGACGAATCTAGAGCCCAAAACATACAAGATAACTCCAAGAGAATATAATAATCAACATAACCCTAACCCTAGCATCTCATGTCTATTTAATACATTAATTTCTAATTCAAAAACTCCCTCCCATGCATTAGCCACCCTCGCACCCCCCTTGCTATTTTTAGATCAATTCAATTTGTAGGCCCCATCGTTTGGGCGGCAACAATAGAGGAGGCAGAATTATTTCGCCTCCTATAGAACCAGCTGACCCAGCAAGGGCGAGTTTGGCCGATTCCACCTGAACTGACCTAACAATACCGTCCTCCCAAAGAATCACCTTGTCCTCAAGGTGAAAGGAGGGAAACTAATGCTTCATCCTCTCATAAGGCTCCCATGTCGCCTCATAATATGGAAGATCCTTCCACTTGATCAACACATCTTTTTCCCTTCCTGCATCCTGGCGCACCCCTTGTAGCTCAAAGGGTTCTAACATCACCTCCAAATCCTCGGTTAATGTTGCTGGTAATTTAGAACTTATTGCATGATCTCCAATGGCTCTCCTCAGTTGGGATACATGGAACACAGGATGTGTGGTCGCCGTTAGTGATAGTTTCAGCCAATATGCCACCACTCCAATCTTTTCTTGTACCTTATACGGTCCAAAGTACCTTGGGGCAAGCTTCTCATTTCTCCTGTTGGCGACGATCTTTTGACTGTATGGTCAAAGCTTTAAGAACACCCTCTCCCCTACTTCGAAATGAATGTCCTTCTTATGCTCATATGCTTGTTTTTTCATAATATGTCTTTTCAACTCTTCCAACAGTCTGTCCCTCTCCTCCAAATACTCCATTGAAAAAATTGGAGTGCTGCTATGTCCAAAATGCACCAGGTGAGGTGGATTCCTTCCATACAACACCTTGAAGGGTGTCATCTGAGAAGCTGAATAATAAGAGGTGTTGTATAAATATTCCGCCCATGCTAACCACTTGGCTCATAACTTGGGCATGTCCGACACAAAACATCTGAGGTGGGTCTCCAAGCTCTTGCTGACCACTTCTGTTTGGCCATCTATCCGTGGGTGATAGGAGGTGCTCCACTTCAATATTGTCCCCTGTATTATGAACAACTCCCTCTAAAAGTGGTTGAGGAACACCTTATCTCCTTCAGATACTATAATCTCTGGTATTCCATGCCTTGATCGCCTCTCTGATGAACAATTATGCCACTATCATTGTGGTATATGGATGTTAAAGGGGAATGAAATGAGCATACTTGCTCAAGAGATCTACCACCACTAAGATCACTATGAGCCATTCTGATCGGGGAAGCCCTTCTATGAAATCCATGTAGATCTCCCCTCATACCTGGCCTGGTAAAGCCAACGGCTGTAGTAATCCTCCTGGAGACATGGTCAAATACTTATTTCTCTGGCATACCTCGAATTTGGCTGTCATCTCCTCCACATCATTATGCATCCCCTTCTAGTACAACTTTGAAGCTAGCCTATTATATGTCTTTTGCACCCCTGAGTGATCCCTAACAACGCTTTCATGGAACTCCTGGAAAAAGAGTGGAATGTGGACTGATGTCCGGGGCATCACAAACCTCCCTTGATATAGCAGTCTGCCCCCCTCCAATGAGTACCCCGGATGGCTACTCTCTTCCCTTAGTAAATCGACCCCGATCTTTCCCAATTCTTATCCTTGTCACTTTCTTCCTTGATGTCCTCCTAATCTAACATCAAAGGAATCGATAGTTGCATCGCCTGCAACTACCCCATACACCTGGACAAGGCGTTTGCCACTTATTCTCCACTCCGGGCCCAACAATTTGGACAACCACCTTTGATGTGATAGGAAACACTTGAAGTTCTCAAGTATTTCCTATCAATCTTCGGAAAACAACGAGGATTCTTCACAAAAGTATGCACAAGAACACAAAAATAGTAGATAATTTGTATTATTTGATGAAAGGGAACAAAAAATATCAAGAAACAATTGATCCTCTATTCGAGAGGAGGATCATTCTCTCCCAATCTCTAGACGCCGCTAGAGCCCAAAAGAAATCCAAGAGATCTCAAATTTCAGCCAAATTCAAGATGCCCTAACCCTAGGAAAACAAAGTATTTAATTCATACAAATCAAAAGGAATTCCCTAAACAGTCCCTACATTCAATTTCCCTCCTAATCTTCCTCAAAATTCCTTCCTAAAATGCTCCCGCAAGGCTAGCGGCTCGGGCAGCCTCCGCCCAGGTGGAAAAATTCCGTTGTTTCACCCTTAAGCCGGTCCCGCCTGGACCGGCTGGTCCGGTCCAGTGGACCGGTCTAACAATACTCCCCTCCCAAAGATCCACCTTGTCCGCAAGGTGGAAAGACGACACCCTCCATTCCTTCTTCATCACAAACAGTAAGAACCTGAAGAGTTCGGTCCTTACACCTGTGCCCCGGCGTATACCATTATTTTTTTTTTCTTTATTTTTAGCATCGCCATTGATTTCAGAACAGTGGCATTCTCTTCAGTGATGTGCCTAGATGATCTCAGCAAATGTTTGATCATCGGTTTTGCCAATTCATGGTTGTGTGTTTCTACCGAATTTTTCACCGTCCATATCCCTTCTTCACTAACAAAAAATCTCACCATAGCAGGGGCATCCAGTTCTTGTAGTTGATTTTTCTAAATTTAACCTTCTGTATATTTTCTGTTTCTTCTTGAATCCAGATTTTGAACAGACAAAAACTTTGTTTTTCAACTTCCTGGTATCCAGGTCCAGTAAGAAAGATGTTCTTTCCGAACACTGAAGCCAATGCTTATGTGCATATCGCAATATTTAACATATGCTTCTTTCTTCAGATTTGTAAACCCCCCTATTTAAAATAAATTACATTATTCATTAAAACAACGGAAAATTCCGATTATAAATACATGAATCTCGGTAACATAGTTCAATACCGAGTTATAAATAATCTCGGTACAAATATATGGTATTTCAATTCTAGGGGTATATAAAGTCATAATTAACGTAAAATCTAACGAAAAAATTTCAAATACCCTGAGTTTAAGTACGAATATCCGAGATATTAAGAGTTATCAAAAAACTCGGTACAAGGTTCTACATAAGTATAATATCTGTACAAAAATCAATTTTCAGTAATAGAAATTAAATCTAGTTATGTAGAAGACATAAATGACGTAAAAATATTAAAAAATACCTAATAACCGGGATATACTTATAAATACCGAGAAATACCGAGTTGTCATAAAACTCAGGTATTTCTTTCTTCATAGCTCTAAAAACTAAATGGAAGCAATATAAACAAATATCGAGCAGTACCAACTTATAAAAAATCAAGTTACATTTAACTAACGACCAATACCGAGTTATCTAAAGGTTAGATACAAACAAATATGAGAGGATCAGACGACGATGGAGGACAACTTACTTGTAAAAAATAGGAAAAATCGTCATCCAAAGTATAAGTGCAAATGTTCATCGAAATCGTCTAACTCTCTCAAAGTAGGAGTTCCCAGAGTAGGATTTCCTTCGAATCCATCTCGTGAAAGCTATGCGAAAGTTTCGATAACCCTAAACACTGTATAAGTTCTG